AGATTTATCTAGTTCAGAGAGGGGGGAGGTTGAGGTTCCCCACTAGTATAATTTTGCTGTCTATTTCTTTGTATAACTCCCTGTACTTCTCTTCTAAGAATGCGGATGCTATACCATTTGTTACATACATGTTTACTAATGAAATTACTTCATTGTCTATGGTGCCTTTTAGCAGGATGTAGTTTCCTTCCTTATCTCTTTTGATTAGATATTTTTTTGCTTTTGCTTTGTCTGAGATCAAGATTGCTACCCCTGCTTTTTTTTTTTTACTTCAGCTCAAGCATAATATATTCTGCTCCAGCCTTTTACCTTTACCCTGTGTGTCACTGTGTTTCCTGTAAACAACATATCGTAGGATTATGGTTTTTAATCCATTCCACCATCCACTTCCAGTTTATGGGAGAGTTCATCCCATTCACATTCACAGTTATGATTACTGTCTGTGTCTTCTGTTTGATTCCTGACTCTCCTGTTTTTAGCCTCCTCTTTTTACCTCTGGCCATCCATATGTTTGAGGTTGGTTTAGTGCAGTTGACAATCCTAATGATTTAATTTGATTTGTGATACAAAAAACCCTGCCGCGTGTAGGGATCTTTAGAATTGCTGAAGCTCTCTGCTAAGAGAACTTCTTAGGACTTTCACTGGGGCATTTGAAAAGCCTTTGGAAATTGTGTAATGAGGTTTTCTTCCTTGCTTTGTTTCATTTAGGTCTATAGAAGGGTATATGCCTGGATAATCTTAATATTCCCTTAAAGCTCAGAGACCATTCCAGACCCTCTCCAGAATTGGAGATATGGCTACATGTATCAAATGAGTTCTAACTCATTATCTTAGGTAGGCTTGATTAGATTTAACTATTCAAAGAGCTTAAAAGGAATGATAACTTGTCTCCTACTCAGCAACTGTGAAATAAAACTTTTCTTCAATTTCCAGTGAGAGATCCTTGAACAATTGGCTTTAGTAGGGCACAAGATGGCTTAATTCACTTTGGTAAAAATGCTGATTCCTTCAAAATGCTATTTAAAATGCATGTCCTGTAAAACAGAAGGCTCTGTCCACTTCTAAATACAGGAGAGCAAGCCTGAGCAGAACACTCCTAGAATTCAGTTTGATTTTGAGATGTTAAGAGTTCTTGAAATCCTTATTCAGCACTGAATGCCCATCTTCCTTTCCTCACATGTGGAAATACAGTGTAGCCTTCCAAAACACAGCATCATCTACTACAGGGACCACATCACAACCTTTGCTTGTAAAGGTTAGAGACAATTTGTGATTTCTGGTCTTCTCAGCATTATACATTTGTTCTCTCCTTCTGAGAACTGCTAATTTTTATTCCATCCCTACTCCCCCCTTTAATCTATCCCACTCTCCTAAATTTGCCTTTCTTATTATGATGCAAATATAAAAAGATCTGGGAGAAATTGAGATACTATGATGACTGAGTTTAAGACAAATTTTTATTCTATAAACATGACTGTAGCCTTCACAGCCAAAAGACAAATATTTTGTGCCTCCTGAATTCATTTACTCTATGACTCTCACCAGTGGCCATAAGGAATCTTAATGAATGTCCTCAAACCTCTCAAACCAAATACTCCTACCCTCTCAGCCTAGAATCTTGACTCATAAAAAGTGAGGACATGCCTGTACAGTTTCTTCTCCCCCTATCCTTGTCTGATATCATTCATACTCTTTCCCTCATTTTCTCTTCATTCATTCCAGTTGAATAGATGGAACTTCTCTTTATCAAGCCTAACTCCTCTCTAGGAATCCATGTGTGTGTTTGTATATGTATATACATATAGGTGTATACATACGCACAATACATATGAGTATATATACACATAATGTGTATGTATGCATGTGTGTATACAACCATCCATCCACTTATATCTTTTTATCTATCTATCTATCTATCTATCTATCTATCTATCTATCTATCTATCTATCTCTCTATTTATTCATCACTGTAATCATATATCCCCCCTGTAGAAACTTGCCTTGTTTACCTATATATTTTCATAACTGTTCTTTTTTTTTTCTTCTCAATTTCAGGCAGGAGTGGATTGGAGTGGGTGACTGGGTGAGAATTTTGGCTAATTAAAACAAAGAAAAGGGGCAGCTAGGTGGTGCAGTGGATAGAACACTGTCCTTTGAGTCAGGAGGACCTGAGTTCAAATCCATCCTCAGACCAAACACTTGACACTTATCAGCTGTGTGACCAAGTCATTTAACCTCAATTGCCTAAAAATAAGAAAAAAATTTTAAAAAGAACAAAGAAAAATTTTTTAAAAGAACTTTAAAGGGAGAGGTTAAAGAACACACCAAAATTTTGTTTCATGGGTTTTATTTAGCTCCTGGTTTGTCTGTCTTTTGCCTATTTTCACATTCTTTTTGAAAACATATGATAATTGATTTATATATATCTGGCCAGGCATTTCCTTCCCACCATGTTCCAAGTTCTGAGAGAGCAGGAGATGAGTCTTATGTAAACTTTGTACCCTCCTGTCCTCAGGTAGAGTACTCCACATCATGAGATGCATAACTGTGTTGGTGGTTGTGGGTGATTAATGACATGCATTCCATGTGAGCTGGGGGCCTTGCCCAGTACTATTGTTTTCCTGTTGCAAATCTGGTTTTTTTCCCTCATTTTCCCCTCTTGTTCTTATGCATATTGCATTTCTAAATGCAAATGATCCAGCTTGATCTTCTAAGAACAATTTAAATATCATTATTTCCTGTTATTAGAGTAAAATAAGAAAAAATGTAGGCTTAGAAATTAATTTTGACCCACATTTAATGACAATATAACCCCCAAAACCCCATTACCTGCAATGATTTTCATACTGGACCTCTCAGCTATCATGTGTGCTAGCCAACTTCTTCTAGGTGAAGACTCTCCTACCTCTTGGTCAGAGAACCCTAAGCAGACTTTGAAGAAACATTAGATGGTCCAACCACCTCTCCTCCTCTACCCTAGCAGGAGGAATTGGGTATCTATCATACATTTCTGAGGACTATTTTCTGTGTGTTAGCAGAAGACCAGGGCCAAAGCCTTAGAATCCTTTATAACTCAGGGGACAGACCAAGACATTGTTTCCAGAATGGTTGTACTCCTTTGAACTTGGCTGAGACAACTGCTTTTTTTCCCCTATAGTGATGAAACTGAGGCATAAATGATGAATGGAACTAATCCAACATCATATGGACAGTAGGTCAAAGAACTAGAATTTGAACCCTTGTTCTCTGATTCCACAGGAAATGCTTTCCAGCTTTGCAGAAGTTTTGTACTAGCCAGCACCACACTATCCGTATTTGGAACCATTGGTTATAATAACAAATGGAGTTTTTTTTTAATATAAATTAACTAATTTATTTTTAGTTTTCAACATTCACTTCCATAAGGTTTTGAGTTTTATATTTTCTCCCTCCATTACTCCCTCCCTTCCCTCTCCCAAAGTGGAGTAGAGGCAGTTGTTCCAGGAATCAAGTAGCAGTTTAATTAATTTCAGAGTGAGGAAGGCAAGTTTGCAAACAAAGTCCTCTAGTGGGATAACCAGATTAGAAGCCACATTGTAAGGGCTTAAGAAGTGAATGAGAAAAAGTGGAGGTATGTAGGTTTCATCCTTAAAACCTAGGAAGTTCTTTCTTTCCTTGCTTTAGAACTTTTAGTTTCTCCTGTTTGATGACTAACCTGAGGGCATGTCTGCATAAATACTTGAGATAACAGATTTTATACTTTGTTGTTTTCGAGCAATTTCTCACCTATGAAATCCTAGCTATTTCACTTCTCATTATTCCTTGGAGTTTCTCTCCCTGCTGTAGACCTTTGAGGATATACATGTACAATCTTCTCTGCTGCCTATTCTTTTTAGTTTAAAGCACCTTTCATTAGAATTCCAAGATAGTAAATGTATTCTATTGAGTTTCAAAGCTGAGCCAATTTACATGCAATAGTTTTGGGGCCACCTCTGTCCCGTTTTGCTTCTCAGTTTCTTATGGTACTGTATTTTATTAGCTCTTTTTTTAGTTCATTTTATGAATAATCCATTTACACCATAAAATATTAAGGTGAGTATTTTTTTTTTTGGTGAGGCAATTGGGTTAAGTAACTTGTTCAGGGTCACACAGGTAGTAAGTGTCAAGTGTCTGGTCTGAGGCCAAATATGAACTCAGGTATTCCTGACTCTATTCACTGAATCACCTAGCTGCCCCAAACATGAGTTCTTTTATTTATCTATTTATTTATTTATTTATTTATTTGTTTTTTTGTTTGTTTGTTTGTTTGGCTAGGCAATGGAGTTAAGTGACTTGCCCAGGGTCACACAGCTAGTAAGTGTAAATTATCTGATGCCACATTTGAATTCAGGTCCTCCTGACTCCAGGGCTGGTGCTTTATCTACTGTGCCACTTAGCTACCCTTGATGAGTCTTTCATAAACCTATTGACCCATCTGTTAACTAATAATAAGCATAATAACAGAAAGTTGAAAATACTTATGCTATCTGACCAAGGGTGATTTTCTGGTTGGCAATTTCATTCAGGAGGTTAAATTACTAGGATTACAAGGAAAGCTGTGTCTAATTAGAAAGGGTCAGGGGAAACCAGCACAGATGTTCCCTGACATGGCATATTGGGAAAAAGGCTTCAAAGGGAGAAGTAAAAAGAGGTTTTAAAAGAAAGGAATTAGTATCAGATGAGCCTAAGGAAATTCCCACCATTCCAGCTTAGAAGAGTCATTATTTTTTAAGGTTCATTCAGATGCTTTGGAGTATTTCATGGAACTGCCAGATATGGAAAGTAGGCTAGAGTTAAGGAAGCCAACATTTCTTCATGATTCATTGATCTTGTACCTCAGTTTTGGGAATTTGTTGAATGACTGGCTTAGATGTTCTTTCATGTTTCATTGAGCTGAAACATTTTGAGTCCTTGTGCCTCCATAGGTCTTCTCTGAGGATCTGCATTACAGGGTAATGGAGACCCTGTCACTTTTCCATTTTCTAATGAGCACAAGTCCTGGGGATCTGGTTATCAGTGCTGATCAGAATAAAAGGGCTAACTGTTGGATACCACAGAGACAGAAAGGCTGAGGTATGCATCACCCAAGTGTTTATGTTTTTAAAATAGAACATACACAGAGAGAAAATTGGACTGAATACATTAAGCAGAACATAGATGCCCACTAGAAGCAAGATAGCTTGGGTAGCTCTGGTTTCAGGGGATATTTTTGAGGAGAGGCTATTACTATGAAGATGCTTTACATGCTTCTTGTGTCTATATAGGATTGAGACCATATGGGCACTAGAAAACATCATGAGACACACAAAGAAAGTATCATAAATACATATTATGATAATAATTTTAACATGATTATTATTATTCAAATCTAGAGATCTATACCCATTGTTGCAACCGTATTTACTATCTGTCCTGTTCTTTGGACCATCAAGGTATTGAAGTAGAATGACACATAATAGCGGATTGAAGAGCCAGCAAAGAAGAATGCATGGAATAATGCCCTTTGGTTCTCTCGTTTTGAGCCGTGCCCATATGGAGTTGTTGGGACTAATAGTGATGGCCTGGAAGACACTCAAGAAGCAAGTGCTACATGAGGAGACGCTCCGGGTGAGTGTCTGCATGTATGTTATGATTTTAATCCCAGTCTTGTCCAGGAGACATTTCACCCTCCAAAGCCTTGTTGTAGTAGGTATTCCCCTAAAGAGAAGCACCATGACATTGGAAAAGGCCAAATGGATGATAATGAGTTTTATACCTCTTGTTCTCTGAGCAATGAGGTAATTAAAGGTATTTAGGAAGAGGAGGAAACAGTTCCCTAAGAATCCAACCACAGTTGGTAACAGGTATACTATTCCCAGGTTTTCATCAAAAGTCAGCATTCTTTAGGTGTCTTGTGAAGATAATTTGTTGTCAAATTCTATGTGACCTGTGGAAAAACAGATGATGTAACTATTGTTATATTCTTAGATTGCCCCATTGAAATTCCATGACCTACTGATCTCCCATATGAGGAGCAATAAAGTTTCTCAGAGACTGGGTACTAACTTCCTACTCAACTCTAAACTTACTGTCTTAGCTGAAAATCTTTTATCATTCCATCTTTTCATAGGCCTGAAAACCTCCAGGCAGCATGGTGGCACAATGGACAGGGTGTTGGCCCTGGTGTCAGGAAGATCTGTGTTCAAATGCAGCCTTAGATGCTAACTAGCTCTGTGATCCTGGGTTCCTCTGTGAATCATATTTGCCTCAATTTCCTCATCTATAAAATGACCTGGAGAAGGAAATGGGAAACCACTCCAGTGTCCTTGCCAAAAAACCCCAAGTGGGTTCACAAAGAATTAAACATGACTAATCAACAAAACAAAAAGAAGACATCTGAGCCTATTCTTCCTCCCACTGACCTTCAGCCTTACCATCTTCCTTTTGTTTCTCTGCCCTTCATCAGTGCAGCAGCTAAAGTATTCTTTGTTTTTTTTCAATATGTCAATGCCCTTATTTATTGAAGTAAACTCTGCTTTATCATCTACCTTTGTATCCCATGCTCCTTTGTCCCTCAATGACTCCTAAAAACTCCATTTATTTTTCTTCTTCATGTGTCTCTGATGGGCTTTACAGGAAGTCAGGAAACTTTCCTGTATATGTTCATTATGAAATTGTGCCATTTATTTTCACCTGGAATCCACATTGCAGAAAGGTCAATTTTCTATTCCTCAGTACTACAGCTGGTATCTTATTTTCTCTAGCTACTTACAGCGACCTTCACATGTCCTCCATGTGTCCCACAGTGCCAAACGACCCACCTTCTCAGCTGAGGATCTTGCTTCATAACTCATTGACTGAACAATTGAGGTCACTCAAAGAAAGTTCCTATTTCTGTCCTTTTGCTCAGCTTGTCTCATTCTGTTATCTTTCTATATTTTCTCACTTCTCATTCTTAATGAACAAATAGCCCTTGTGAGAAATCCTTGCTGCTATGTCCTCCTTGTCTTATTGATAACATTCAGCTCCTGTTTGACAATGACTATCCTTCTTTATCTTCAATCACTTATCTCCTGGCTCATTCTTTGGTGTCTGCCAACATTGTCTTGTCTTTCCCTTCCCTATAACTTCCTTATTTGATGTTACTATAGTCATTAGATATCACTCTATACCTTTTTATGAAATTATTTACTGAATTTATTTATTATTTAATGAATACTCCTGGGTTTCCCTGGTTTAAGCCTCTCCCCACTCTTGTACATCTTCCAATCACCTGTCAAACTGATCTTCCTAAAGTGCTGGCCTTATCATGTCAACACCCAATTTGTTAAAACTACAATTACACATTATTACCTTCAGAATCAAATATAAAATTCACAATTTGAATTCAAAGCCTTTCATAAACAAGCCCCTTCCTACATTTCCAGTTTTCTTAAATCATATTCTCCGCCATATGCACTGTGTTCTAGGGAAACTGGCCTTCTTGCTATTCCTTGAACAATATGCTGAATCTCTGGAATCCATAGATTGTTATTTGCTTCCCCCTGTGCCTGGAAGGTTTTCTATCTCCATTTCTGCCTCCTGACTTGACTGGCTTCCTGAAAATCTCAGCTAACAACCTTTGTTCTAAAAGAAGCATTTCCTTATATCCCTTAATGCTAGCATCTTCCCTCAGCTGGTATTATGGATTCATGCAGTAAATAAGTAGTTTCTCCCTAGTTGTTTGCACATATTCTCCCCCATGGGACTCTGAGTGTCTCAGAGAGCAGATCTTTTCTTTTGTCATTCTTTTGATCCCTCCTTCTTAGCACATCTCCTGATACATAGTGGGTGTTTAAGAAATGCTTTTGGAATGATAATTCAAGTTAGACTGGGGGCCTTCTGCAGGACTATTTTTCCATTCAGGAATGTCTGACTGATGTTTTTATTTTTACTCCAGTTCTTTAAGCACTGACAATTTTGTAAAATCAAATTATACCACCTGATGTTCTTAGAGAAAAGAGTAACTTCATCAAAATCTCTTTTTCTAACTGGAGAGACAAGGAATTACAAAAATCCAAGAGTTTTTTAGAAATTAATTTAAAAATGAATTTAATTACAACATAGTACTATTTAAAAAAAAACAGATGTGTGGTTATTTTCTAACTTAGACTCTCGGCTATCATCTGTGCTAGCCAATCTATTCCACCTGGCCAGCTTTTCTACTCCTGGCTTATGGAATATGAAGTAGACCCTGAAGAAAACTCAAGTATCTGGAGCCGCTCAACCTTGAAAGAATTAGGTGAATAAGAAGGATTAATGAGGACCCTTCTATGTGTTAGCCAGGGTCAGAACCTCAGAATTTTTCCTGAGTTGAGAGAGCAGGGTATCATATCTAGAGTGGGAAAGAAACGGAGCTTAATTGTTCCACATCATTACTATGTTTTTTATAATGATGAAACTGGGACCTAAAGAAGGAATGGGATTTACTCAAAGTAAGAAGGAACAAGTGAGGAGTACACCCAGAATCTGAACCGTGCTCTTCCAACTCCAAAGTCAATATACTTTCCAGCTCAACATCATGCTGCTTGGAAAAGCATTGTTGTCATGGGAGAAAAGACCCTTTTAACCCCATATAGATAAGTTTGTTGTTAATGTAGGAAGCCACTAATCACACTTAAAGGTATTATTAAAACACAGATGCGAACAGGGAGGATCCTGGGATAGGGCAAAATGCTGAGGGATGGTGATATTAAGGAGGCAGAAATGAAGACTCAGAGTCCATAGGCAGTGACCTCCCAGTTGGCATGTCAGTGTTGTCTTCTGAAATGGCTGGCTCATCATCACTGAACAGGAATAGGAAGCATATACTCTCCTTTTGGGGTATTTGGATCACTTTTCTTGCTCACATTCTCACAGAGTACAGAGACCAGTGCTAGGACACATTAAGGTAAGGTGATGGAATAGGATGGGAGGAAAGTGAGAGCAGCAGTCAGGAGTCCTTAACTCTCATACCCTTTTCCATAACCAGCAAGAAATTCCAGACTCTGAACATACTGTGAGGGTCCCAAGATAAAAGGCAATTTCTTTGCCCACGAACAGAGCTTCTCTTAGATGACAGAAATCCTATTCCTCATGTTAGGTTAGACTGAGCAATAATATCCCCCTCACATTTTCTCTTCAGAATGTAACTGACTAAGACTTGGCTTGTATGTGTCTGAAGACACAATTTGTGCAAAATATGTCAGGGTCAGAATCTCATGTCAACTGATTTCACCCTGACCTATTCTCCTGACCTATTTAAGGTGTAGCCCAGGGCAGGAAGAGTGGAGAACTCCTTAGCCCCTCTTGGGACAGGTACAATTTAAGTTCTAGATGTCAGGTGTGGCCTTATTTCTTTTCATTATGATTTTGTGGGATTTATAACTAGACCACTCCCAAGAGAAACAGAAACAGTAGTTTCCTTTCCCTTGAATCACTCAGTCTCTCACACTTGTAATCTCCTGCCTCATCATCATCTCGTGGCTCTCCTGGCTTCCTTTAAGTCTTAGTCAAAGCCCCAACTTCTGGAAGAAGCCTTTCCAAGTTATCCATAATCCAAATACCTTCTCTATGATAATATGTAGAAGTCACCCAATCACTCATTTGTACATATTTGTTTGTATTTTGTCTATCCCATTAGACTTTGAACTTCTTGAGATCAGGGCTAGATTTTCACCTTTCTTTTTCTTCCTGCACTTAGCAAAGTAAGTGGTACATAAATATGTACCTATATAGCTTTTTGACTGGCTGTCTCATTCATTAGGCATTCAATAAGTTCTTGTGCTTGGCTCTACACAGTAAATTAAAGACATTCTCCATTTCTACCAACCTTTATCTCTGGCATTATGGCATAGTCACTTACCAGGAAGATTTCTTTCAATGAAACAGAAAGCAGGACAGCCACCATCAGTGTTCGAGCTGGTATATGTGTATGCGTGTGTGCACATCATATATAGGGGAGGGTCAGGCTTGCAGTTATAGTGACTAACCATACCTGAGTACATTTCCCCCAGGGCTGTAATTATCATGTCATCTATGGAGACTTGACTCCGGTATCTGGGACTTGTCTCAGAGAAAGTTTACTTTTGTCCCAGATGTTTATGTCATTTAAGAAACACTCTTGATTATTTAGAATCTCTAGTGCAGCATCAATGAGCAGATGCGGGAGAAACTTTTCTTGTCTAGATGAGAATAGCGAAGAGATGAGGGCCTGTCAGGTGACTCTCAGGAGACAGCCTACTGACACTTTAGCCTGTGGATTGGGCTTCTAGCTGAAGAGCTCCCTTGGTTTGGGCTCAGGCTCCCCTTTCCAATTGGTACAATTGGGTCTGCTTGTCTAGCTTCTCCCTGTGGCCTCCCTCTTTTACATTTTACCTAATGGAGAGGAGAGTGAAGGCTAAGTTCAGCTCCCAGATAAACTACAGGGGATTCCACATCAGGATCAGCTCTGCTCAAGTTTGCCTCAACGTCCATCTTCTGTAGAAAAATAGGACCAAGAACTTGGACAAAAGTCAAGAAAGACACTGGAAGATTGATAGTTTGGCTCTGTTTCTAACCCTCTTTTTATTAACTCCTCTTCCAATAATAGGAGACATATATATATATATATATATATGTGACCCAGAATAGTGATATTCCTGTGCTGATCCAACCTCTTTATATTTTGTTTCTCCATGCCCCTTATTCCTCCTCAGATAGGAAATCTATTAGTCACTCATTAAGCTCCTATTATGTGCCAAGCAATGGGCTTACATACGTTGATAGTGACAAAAAAAGATAAAATGATATTTTTAATCTGGAGGACTTTGCAGTCCATTATTGGAAGGTGAGAGAATCAATATGTCTATTTATGAATGTATAGAAACAACTGTGTACACCA